ATCATCATAAAGAACTTTGCTGATAACCCATTCGTAATCAATCGATTTCTCGCTACATTCAAGCAACATACAAAACTCAAGTTTACTTTTTCCACACATCCTACGGAAATCGCCTTTCTTGATCTTTGGATACTGCGTAAAGACGTGTACACGCATAGGACTCATCAGAAACAGCTGAACCTATACCTATACATTCCTGCGCACAGTGCACATCCTCCTGGAGTACTAAAAGGGTTAATTTTCGGCCTTCTGAAGAAATTTAGGAAGCAGAATCCTGATTTAACTGACTTCAAACACTTTATCGAAGCCCTTTACAAACGTCTCCAGTACCGTGGGTACAAGAGTAATGTACTGCGACCCTTGTTTCGACAGGCACTCTCAGACCAGGACTCTCGTCCTAGAACTAGCAATAGTCTATTTTTCAAGGTTCCATACGACCCAAATGGACCCAACAATCATGGACTTCGCGACATTCTACGGCTTAGGCAGTTCGATCCAGCCTTAAAGGAACTAAAGATAGATAAGATCACCATCTGTCATCTCAAACCTCCTTCACTCAAACGGAAACTGTGTCCTACGACATTACGTACAGACATATCCCCCACCCCTGCTCAGCTTCTACGCTAAGTACAGAGGTGGGGGCGGGAACCCCCATAACCCATAACCCCCGAAACCCGATTTCCGGATAACCCCACTGGACCGCAACAAACCTAAACCCGTACAGCTATGTACGGCAGTAATGTCGTACTTACATGGACTTACAGCCCCTCCTTCCGGTTAAGGACAATTGTCCCAAAACCCAAGTAAATCCTGTATACATGTACTGTACAGACCCTCGGGTAAATGACTTCGGTCACTGCCCTTGTCCGACGACTGTTCCTTAAGCCAATCCAGCTTGAGAGAATTTCCGACGACGGCTCTTAGAGCCAATCACACGCTTTACCTTGCCAAGGCATAGTTTAGTTAAGAGTAGGTGTTCCGCTGACGAAGATATCGAAAGGACCAATGAGATTAGGTATAGCAACCACGTCAACCAAGTCGACCAATCGTTGGGGGCTCCGCCCCCAAACCCCCGATGACGCGCTACGCGCGTGCGCGCTACGCGCGGAGTCGCTTCGCTCCTGTAGTTGCTTAATTTTTAATTCACCCCTTCGGACCCACACCTCCGTTTGTTTTTGTGTTCTCCCGGCACCTCCCTTCACCCCGAAACCCCGAAACCCCACAGACATTGTGCGCATCCCATGCCTGCTGGGTTTGCCTTGACTTTGCCTCGCAAGACGCTAACGTAGTTGCAATGCCAGCGGAAGACGAGCCCCCTCGGAACGTCTGCCACTTGCACCCGATGTGCTGTGCTTTGCCCTGCGACAACCTTGCGATGGACTCGTCTTCTTACTGCGAAAACCACACCATGCGATCCAAGTGCACGGGAACAAACCGCCACGGCAAGCGTTGCCAGGCGCTGTCTGTGTCGCGACTTATTCCGTATTGCAATCAGCACAAGCCCAAAGCCGTCGAGCAAAACGAGAAAAGAACGGAAAGCGCGAAACAAAAGGTTGAGATCAAGGTTAAACCTGTGGAAAAGGTTGTCGAGTCTGAACCGCTCGACGAGGAGCCGGAGAAGGAGGACTGTGACCCTGATGAGATTCTGGTGGAGGCGGACAGCGGGGACGACGACGACAACTTTTCAGACACGTTTTCGGACTTGGAGGAGGAAGCTTGCGACGGTGGCAACAAAGTGCACCTGGACAACGAGGACGAAGTGGAAGAGTCGGAGCATTTGCAACATTTGCGAGACGTGCACGACACCACGACCATCCAGTACGACGACGAAAGCAAGGACGACCAAACGCACGACGAAGACATGGTGAAGATGGCTTCATCCACATTGGTAGATCACATTCCATCGACCCAATGGACGTGGGCCATGTCCACGGACGAGCGGTGGGCGCAACTGACGCTTCTGGACGAAAGCCACCGCGTGCTGCTGATGCACTGGCTGGCCAAGTGCAACCAGTCGATTGAGCAAGCTCGAGTTGCCTTCCACGACGCCGAAGTCAAAGCCAAGGCCAAGGTGTACGAAGGCAAGGCGGTGATTGGGGGCACGATTGTCGGGTGCATTTCCCGCCTGGAGGCGATCCGGGCCACGAATCCGTTTGCGATCGTCGTGGAAGAGGCGTCGGAGGTGCTGGAGCCGTTGCTGTTTGTATGTTTGGGGGCTTCCACGTGCAAGTTTGAGATGATTGGCGACCACTTGCAGCTCAAGCCGTCGATCCAATCCAAGTACACGTTTGAGCGCATGAACCACATTGGCGTGTCGATGTTTGAGCGCCTGATTCGGTCTCCGCCGGGGCATCAGGTGCAGTCGTCCGTGCTCTCCATCCAGCGCCGCATGCGCAAAAACATCTGCGACTTGACCCGGGACTACTACAAGGACATTGTGGCCATCCAAGATCACGACACGTGTCATAACCGGTGCATCCAGTCGACGTCATTGTTGAAACACCTGCCAACGGCCGGCCGCGAAGTCCCCGGGGTGTCTCCGCACGTGTATTTCTGGTCCCACACCGGACAGCAGCAGCGCGCCTCGGTTGGTCTGTCCAAGATCAACGCCGACGAGGCAGACATGGTGTGCGCTCTGGCCAAGTATCTCGTAAACTGCGGAATTTCTCCCCAGTCCATCGCGATTCTAACGCCTTACAAGGGCCAGCTCATGCTCATGCGGAAGCAATTGCTGGCGTCCAACCTAATCCACCACAAGGACAACTCGCATCACAGCGACGACATGGCACTCTCTACGGTTGATCGATTCCAGGGTGACGAGGCCGATATTGTGCACATTTCGCTCGTGATTGACGCTAAGTCCCGCACGCCGTTCGTGAAGCTCGTGAACCGCATGATTGTGCTCTTGAGTCGCGCGCGCGTAGGCATGTATATTGTGGGCAACGCTGGCTACTTCACCGAGTCGAGTGCCGTGCCGCACTGGCAGGCTACATTAAACCTTCTAAGCCAGCCCGCCCCGTCGGACTCGACCACCCCTACTGACTCCCACACATATCCAGGCGTTCGGTTCGGTCCAGCCCTCCCCCTTTGCTGTCCGCTGCACCGCAACGAGTCGGTTATTGAAGCCAAAACGCCCAAGCAACTGGCTCTGGGATTTTGCCGTGTCGTGTGCCAGTTCCGGCTGTCGTGCTCGCACGTCTGTGGGTTGGCGTGCCACTGGCCCAAATTGACGCACAACCCCAAATGCTCCGTCCGCGTGCCGTCACCGTGTGCCCGCCACCCGCGGGAGTTAAAGTGCTCCTATGTATTGTCCCAACTTTCCAAGTCTTTGCAGCCCCACAGCACCATCACCATGGCTCTGGACCAGTTGGCTTGCGATGTCCCCGTGGATGTGCAGCTGCCGTGCTCGCATTCGGTCCGCATGACATGCGCCGAAGAGGACAAGCTATCGAATGGCGCTGCCAGCTGGCCGGTCTGCCACCAGCCGAGTGTGTCGCCGTTTGTCCATCCCATTTGCAAACACGAGGTTCAAGTCACTTGCGACCAATTCCGCACTCTGACTGCCAACCCTTCGCTGGCCAAGAAGTGCATGGAGACGGTCGAGTTCGTTCCATCTTGTGGCCACTCGGTGCAGATCAAGTGCTATGCGCGCGCCGAGTTTGACTCGCGAGTTCGAGCGTTTGTGTGCGCGCACCAGTTGGACATGACGCTTCCTCGGTGCGGGCACCCCATCCGCGTGCGGTGCCCCGTGGCGCAGGCACTGGCGGCGTGGACGGGCACCTGCGCGACGGACGTGGTTGAGGAAGGCACTGTGTACGGCCCCAAGGACGCCATATGCGCCCAAGAAGTGTGGTTTGTCAAGAGGTGCGGCCATCGGGTGCGCGTCAAGTGCGGCGTGGCGTTCGACATGGCACCAGTGAACAACACGTGCACGGAGGTCGAGTCGTTTCAGCACCCGTCGTGCGGACATGTGGTCCAAGGCCCGTGTCACTTCAAGCAAACGGCGTATTCAGATCGATGGGAGGGCGAGGCGGTCCAGACTGTGGTGGAAGGGCAGAGTAGTCCGTTTGTGGCAATGACAGGCGCCCTTCAGCGCCACAAGTGCACAAACCTGGTCGTGTACCAACGGCTGTGCCAGCACGAAACGCGCGTGCCATGCTGGCAAGTGCAGGCGCATCAAGTGCCTAAGTGCCGAGTGTCCATCGTGGTTCCCCATGTCTTGTGCGGACACGAGGTGGCGATGCAGTGCGGAGACCGCGCCTTTGGCGGGTACGAGCCGTGGACAGACCCCATCTCCAATACGTGGCTCCAGGACCATTCAGTTCTGGACACCACGCAGCCTCCAGTTCCCCTTCCTTCGGCTCTCAAGTCCATGTCTTGGGCGACTTGCAAAGTGTCTGTGTGGTTCAAACGCCAATCGACTTGCGGTCATTCGTTTGAAACCAAGTGCAGCGAGGCATTCAAGCTGCTCGGAGGCACGGACCTTCCAAAATGCACCAGTGAAACCACCGTGACTTTGCCCTGTGGGCATGAGGTAACGGTGCCTTGCTTCAAGAGTAACGAGCCTCTGCCGCCCTGCAGCGAGGAAGTCCACCGGAACTGCTGGAACTATGCCACTTGCGGCCAGACCGTCCTTGCCATTTGCGGGAAACCCAGCGCCCAAGACTGCTGTTCCAAAATGACGACATGGAGCTGTTCTAAAGGTCACGAAGCTCAAGTCGCGCAGTGCATGGAGGGCATTCCAGAGGACTGTCCATGGTGCTCGATGGACGCTGTTGACGCTGAGCTGGCGACCACCCGTCGACTTTTGGCCACACCTGGACTCACCGTGGCGGATATTTGCACTGTGCCGCCTGCCCTGACATCTGTGCTGCAAGGGCACGAGCTGAAAAAAGCGCTTTTGAAACCGTATTTACAGTCGAAACTCGATTTACTGTTTGAATACAAGGCATGGGTGGACAACCGGTCCCTGTGGAAGCAGCCACTCTTTCAACCGCGCACGGAATGGTACTTCACTGTCGAAAAGAAAGAGAACCCAACCCACAAGAAACACAAGGCAGCGCCACATAAACCACTCGAGTCGTTTGATCCAAAGGTGCTGGTCAAGACGGGGACGATGCAAGGGGTGTCATTGCTGGAATGGACAGCCAAGAACATGCAGCACTTGCTGACGAGAAAGAACCCCCCGGTGGTGCTGGCTGGTGTGGGATTCACGGTGCGGGTGGTGGCGGGGGTCCCAACCATGAATCCCAAAGTTCAAGCCAACTGGATCCAAAGTAAAAAACGCGACGGCTTCGACAGTGTCCAAATGACTTCCCACTCAGCCGAGTCGACTGTATTTTGGCATCCATATGCGATTATGGCTACCCACAAAACCACGCTGATAAGTGCCCACATGGATCAACTGATGAGTTTGGAGCGGACGATGCGACCGGTGCGGCTGATTGAACGCCGCCGGCCGGGAAGTTCAACCAGCACGTCCAAGGCCAGCGTTGGTGCGCTGCTGGATTCGACAGCTCTGGAAGGAAGCCAACATTTGGCTGGGCTAAGATTCCCAGCGCAGTGGGATGGCGAGTCGTTGGTGTCAACTGGTACCAGTGCGTCCATTCAACTGGAACTGGCCAAGAAGCTCCGGTTTGTGCCTGGAAAGCACGACGAGGGGTCGCCCTTTGCAGGGGTCAACTACGCGCGAACCCTGAAGAAGTCGGCAACGGAGCTGGTCGAAGTGGACCTGTTGCTCTGCTTGGAGCTGCTGCACTTGCCAGGAAACGACGAAAAGGCCCCGAAAGCTGCTCTTGAAACATACATGGACGCCATCGAAGAGCAGGCGACTGCGACGGCCCATCCGTTGCTGTTTGTCGCGCTATTTCGCACCACGAACGACCCAACGTACATCAAACACTTTGCCAAATTCTACGGCCACGCCGTGGGCAAATGGCTCACCCCTCGGGAAAAACAGTTTGTCCCAGGTCACGAAGGCCAGTCCACCGTATCCCCCTCCATTGGAAAATCCAATGACCCCACGATTCTGCAGCAGTGGCAGGACTTTGCCAGCAAGGAACGGGTCAAGTCTGACGCGATGGACGAGTTGTTGGACCTGATTGGCATTCGAAAAGTAAAGAAGTTTGCGATCCAGCTGTTCCAAAGTGCCCGGGCGTTCAAGAAACTGAGCTCCAAAGCTCGAAAAGCAAACCAAATGTCATTCAATTACTGCTTTGTGGGCAACGCAGGTACGGGCAAGACCACAGTTGCGCGGCTGATTGCCAAGATTCTGCTGGATTCTGGCGTTCGAACCAAGGACATTTTCATCGAAACTAACGCCCAAGAGCTCAAGGACAAGGGCGCCGACGAGTTCCGCAAGCAGGCGGCAGCTGCCATGGGTGGCGTTTTGTTCATCGATGAAGCGTACGATTTGGACCCCAAGGGCGACTTCAAGGGCAAGCCGATCGTGTCGGAGCTGCTGACGCTGGCCGACAACAAGCGCGACCAGCTGACGATCATCCTGGCGGGGTACGAGGACGACATGCAGGAAAAGCTGTTCAGTTTCAACCAGGGACTCAAGAGCCGCTTTGAGCACGTGACGTTTGAGGACTTTGACCAGGTGGAACTGCAGACGATCTGGGAGTCGCAGATCGACGCCCGCGGGTGGACTGCGCCCCCAGATCTGGGTGTGATTGTGTCAAAACGGTTGGCTTTAGGGGCCAACGTCAAGGGATTCGGCAACGCGCGGTCGGTGCGCAAGGAGGTGGAGCTGGCAACCAAGCACGCGATGAGCAAAGAGTCCTTTGACGGCGACGCGATGCATTTAGCCATGGACGACGTCATGGGAGAACATCCGCTGTTCAACCCCAAGCTCAAGCGCGTGCTGGACGAGATCGAGGCCAAGATTGGCTGGCAGTCCATCAAGACCAGTGTCCGCGAGTTTATCCAGCTGTGCGAGAAGAACTACCAGCGCCAGCTCGCGGGCCAGTCGCCACTCCCAGTGATGCTGAATCGGCTGTTTCTGGGTAACCCCGGCACTGGCAAAACCACATGCGCTACTTTATATGGCAAGCTGTTGAAGGAACTCCGATTTCTCTCCAACGGCGAAGTGCTGATGAAATCTGCGAGCGACTTTATGGGGCAGTATGTGGGCGAGTCGCAGACCAAGACGGTGGCGCTGCTGGAGCTGGCCAGAGGCAAGGTGCTGGTGATTGACGAGGCGTACAACCTAGACGACAAACTGTGGGACAAGCAAGTATTGGACGTGATTGTGGAAAAGGTGCAGAATACTGGCACGGACGATATCGCGGTGCTGCTTTTGGGCTACGAGAAACCCATGCTGTCGATGCTACGAGATCAGAACCCGGGCCTGGCGCGCCGCTTTCCCCGCGAGCACGCGTTTGTATTTGATGACTATTCGCCCATCGAACTGCTCGAGATCTTCCACTTCACGTGCAAAAAGCACCAGGTCGAGTGCTCGCATGCGGCGTCCGAAGTTGCGATGGAACTTCTGACCCAGCAGAAGGCCATGTCCAATTTCGGCAATGCCGGCGCGGTCAACACGATGATTACGACCGCCATGGCCAAGGCATCTCTGCGGGTACAAGGCGCGGATGCTGTCAGTTTGGAGCCGCACGACTTTGTCGACGCAACGGCCGTGGAGGACGATCCATTATCCCGACTAGACAAGTTGTACCGAATGGAGTCGATCAAGGCGAGTCTGACCAGATTGCGCAATGCATTCCAAGTGGCTCAAAGCGAAGGCTCGGTGCTGCCGACGGTGGGCCACTTTGTATTTCGCGGGTCTCCTGGGACGGGCAAGACGACGGTGGCGCGCGTGATGGCGAAGATCTTGTTTCAGTTGGGGCTGATTGCCGTGGACCACGTGGAGGAAACGTCCGGTCTTGACATGACTGGGCAGTACGTGGGCCACACGAAGAAACGAGTGGAAGAGAAGCTCCAGGCAGCCAAAGGCGGCGTTTTGTTCATCGACGAAGCGTATGAGCTTGGTGTGGGGCACTTTGGCCAGGAAGCCATGACGTCGTTGGTGGCGGCGATGACGGACCCAGAATACGCCGGCGTGGTCGTGATTGTGGCCGGATACCCTGTGGAGATGGACACGATGCTCAATGGCAACGTGGGTCTCAAGAGTCGGTTCACGCGCTTTTTCGACTTTCCCGACTGGCTCACAGAGAACTGCATGACGTGGTTCACCCACATGGCCCAAGAGCACAACTTTGAGGTCGACTCTGCCGTGTTTGAGCTGCTCGAGAGCCAGTTTGACGCACTTCGACAACTCCCGGGCTTTGGGAACGGCCGCGACGTCAAGCGGATTTGGGATGAAATGCTGACTTGTCGATCGGATCGAGTGGTTCAGTCGCCCGAAACGATCAAGACCCTCACAGGGTCGGATGTGGCATTGGCGTGCGACGCGATGCTGCGGGCGAGAAAGCGGCCCACGCCGGGGCTCCAGACCAACGCGCCACGCAATTATGACCCTTTTGAGGGCAAAATGGAAGACTTTCAAGCTAACTCAGCACCCCCCCCCACCACCAAAATGGTGTATCAACAGACGCAAAAGCAGGTTCAGACTCCCGACGAAAAGAAGGAAGAAAAAGCGGACGGACGGGACGAAGGCGTGACGGACGTGCAGTGGGCGGAGCTGGAGGCAGCCAAGGAAATGCACGAGCAGAAGCTGGAGCGCATGCGCCGGGAACTGGAGGCCGAAGCGCTGCGAATAGAGTTGGAGAAGGCGCGGGCGTTGCAGGAAAAGATTCGCCAGATTTGTCCATGTCCAGCAGGATTTCAATGGCACCAAGTTGGCGGTGGCTGGCGCTGCGGAGGTGGCAGCCATTATGTGTCGGATGCCCAGCTAAAGTCCCAATTTTCGATCTAGGAACGGGGGGTTATGTAGTTCCGATATTGGCCAACACAAGTAACGTTATTTTGATTTACTTCGAAGTATACGGTGATAATTTTACGGAGATTTATTATTTACTTGAAGTACTACGTACTATTAATAGTAGTAGCTTTTAGAATAAATTACTTCGTAGGGTGCACGTCATCTAAAAACGAGCGGAAGTTTTATTATTTAACGTACAATTAATGTAGTTAAACCCAAAACCAAATACGTTAAATACCGATTTCATGGGTTTTATCACTGTAGTTGGAGGTTAAAGGTCCCCACTGCCTCCGGATATTACATACGGATAAGAGCTACATACAAAAATCAAGATACATCTCAGCGGCCACCCCTATGGCCAAATATCCAAGCGCCCATGTAAAATACCACTAGGTTAAATATCTATTTCTGGACCAATTCATCACCAAATTTGAATCTGAGACGTAGAATTTCTTTACCACATTGAGATCTGTCGATTCTACGTCTCAATTTGCTGAAATTTTGAGTAATGAATATGAAATAGAAGTCAGAAATTTTTGTGAAAAGTTGGTAGTTTATAGATGACGTATACAATATGATTTTTTCTAAAACCTAAATAATAAATAGTTTGAGTTTTGAAAATTAACGTTACAGTAGTCAGTAGTCACAAGTATACCCGAAACCCGCCATAATTTTAATTTATATTGGTATTATGTATTATTAAATAAAAATACGGGGTTGTTGGGTTTTGAGGAATTCAATTGGTTAATAATCCGCCAATAGAATCGGGTGCATATTTACAGTTTTTAGCAACCTCATTTTTCAAGCACGTAATCGTGAGGATACGATGGACGCGGGACATGGACTGGCAGGCGACATCCGCCAAGCAGTGGCAAACGAGCAGTTCGATCTCGGAGGCTTTACAGAACCAAGAACCCATGATCTGATCGTGGCAGCGTTCGGCACTCCCTTGACCGCCCCCACGGAGATGATTCGCTTCACGTTCATCGTGGGAGGTGGAAAACTCGTCCGAGCGCGGTACTCGGAGCAGTTGCCCAAGTGGATGACCGCTGCGCTTCGAGAAGTGGGGTACGTGAATGTCGCCGTCTTATGTCCTCATGTGTTCATGAGATAGATTCGTGGAAGATCGATCGGCAGCCTGCACGTTGGATTGCCAAGGCACGTACAAGCAGCAAAAGGACACGGGGGCCAATTTGCTCACGATCCAGGTGTTTCCTCGCTTGACGCTGGCCGTGGGCACTGGCGGTGAAGACTTGGAGGACAAACCAGCGACGGTGGACGTGGATTCCCCCGAGTATTTGTGCATTTCCAGCGACTTGGAGACGTTTCAGCGCATGATCGTGCCGGCCAAAGCGCGGTCATGGGTGCAGAAGAAGCGCTTTCTCAAGGCACTTCAAGGAAGCATGACGGCGTTCCAGCACTTGGAGGAGAAGCTCATGCGCGGGGAAGCGCTTATGCCCGTGGAGCAGCTCATGTACGACGGCAACATTGGGCTCGAAGTGAACACGGAAAAGTGCGTTTGGCTGCAGGGCGAGATCAAGCGGATGGTGGACGAAGGTCACTTGACCAAAGCGGAAAAGGACGAGGTTATTGCCACGTTGCAGCAAAACTTGGAGCACATTGCCGAGGACGTGGACGCGTCGTCGGGCAAGAAGAAGGACAAATTACTGGAGAAGCAAGCCACGATCCAAGCAAGACTGGCGCTGGTCGAGTCGCATAAGGCGAACGTGGTGTACCGGCTACGGAAGAGCGCCGAGATCGTCAAGTTGCGCGTCGAGTTGCTCGGGGTGCTCGCGCTGCAGGAGAAGGAGCGCAGCTTGAGCCTGACGTCAGAAGACATGCGGAAATTAGAAGGGCGGCATGCGCTGGAGAGTGCCATCGCCGACTTGGAGGAGCAGAGTCGCGAGTGGTTTGACGACGCCTTTGAGGCCAAGTGCGCGTTGGACCAGAAGGACGCGGACGCATTGTACAAGAAGAAGAAGGCCAAGTCTAGTAGTGGAGGAAAAAGTACTAGCGGGTCGTCTAGTAGTACTAGCTGGGCCACTGTGGGCAAGAAGAAGCCCGTGTCCAAAGCTGCCAAACCCAGCACGGCCAAAGGCTCGGGCTTTGCAGCCGCGTTTGGAAACGATTCAGACAGCGACTAACAATCCGCGGGCCAATGAGATTTTAGACATAACCCACTCCAAACCTGTACATTTTCAGACAAAATTAAGCGTAATTTACGCACGCTAAAGTGTACCGATAGTAGAGTTCTGGTGAGCATTCGAAAGGAGAGCTGACTACACCCTGTAACGTTAATAAAATAGAACCCCGAAACCCCCAACAAACCCCGAACCCCCGAAAAACTACGATTTGTGAAACGGTCGGCAGTTCCATTCCAGCTATATCAAGACACAAGTAGACACTATGATGATGTGCGTGCAACGTGTCCTTCAGGTGGTTGCATGGCTGTTCGTCATTGTGGCCATGGCCGGCGGGGCGTATGTGGTCGTGCCATCACAGCGCAACCAGGACTTTGCATGCTGTGGTGGGTGCTCATCTGGCGTCAGGGCCGACGCGGCGCTGTTGCCTCTGGGGTCGCGCATCGTGCTGTGGGACGCCACAGTCAAAGTAGCGCCAGCAGACCAGTGCCAGATCACGTTTCCATTTGAACCGACCAACGGCGAAGTATGAGTTATGATTAGTATGGCAGAATGTTAAGAGGGTGTTGCATTCCGGTAGCTGCCTGGGTCAAGACGAGTTCGCAGTGGGAAACTAGTGGGCTCGACGTTCCCTCTCGACCACGACGCCGACGCCTTGTGTTGTTTGAACAACGGTCGGTGCTCTTTGTCCGAAGATGACGCCAGTGGAAGGTAACTAACTAAATGTACTAACTACATATTGCATCGACTAAGGTGTTGGCATCACGTAGATGTGACTGCGTCGTGCAATACGGGTTCCAAGGGGCTTTCTGCGAACTCAGTGGTACACTCATACGATTTCATAGATATAACTGACCGAGCCTTATAGTATACGACGTTGCAGCCACAAACAATTCGGTACTCCTGTTCCAATCAACAATTGATGACGACGTGGCATTCTCTAGCTTCTGTATCCGCCCACTTTCGAACCGCCGCCGTTTACTATTCCGCTGCCAGACGTCCGGCACGCGCTCGAGTTATTTCCCATCGCCCAGCCTCTGCTCAAGTTTGTCTATTCACCTGTTAGAACATGTTTTGCTAATGTGTTGCAGATCTCTATTGGTTTCCACCGCTGCAACTACAGACGGATCAACTGGTTCAGAGGACCCAAGCCTAGCCCAATACCGAGAGCGCGCATTTCTCCCTGCGGCGCTGGGGGTCGCAGCTGCCATGGGCCTCGCCTGTGTGTTTCTGCTGGTGCTTTTAGTCAAGTGCTGTCTCACCAGTCGCGTCTATTCGATGTGCGAAAAGATCGTCACGATGCTGCTTATGCTGGCCTTTGCATTGCTTTCAGGTACATCGATTCATGGCAACCCGTATTAGTATTCGTTTATTAGCGGCAAGTCTCGGTGTCGGCGGCAATCAGTGGCTGCAATTACACCACCAATCCACCAGCCTCACGACCCTTGTCGACGTGGCCCTGCCGTCTGCCTTGGACCATTTTTACACTACAGTACGATTTGACCGGTCAATAGTTTTTTAAATACTAAGTTGTATGAGATGTCTGCTCCGCTTTTGGCAGCGTTGCAAGGCAACAATGGCAGCATACCCATCCCAATGTTTCAGCTAAAAACCGCAGCTCTCATGCAACAATACGCCCGACTCAATCAAACAGGTTCCAATTTCGTATCTCATATATCGGACTCTCTCAGCCGAATAAATTATATCTCCGTTATAGACATGCCGGGGCTATTTCTACAAGCACTGGATCCACTGAAAACCGTGGGTGCGCTATTCCCCACAGCCACAGGGTGCGAGAATGTAGTGATTTTGCGCAGTTCCATCAGTGTCATGACTGTCGGGGCGGCCACGGGGTGCTTCCAGTGCCCGAAATGTGCAGCTATAGTAGCCAAGTACGATCTTTCCAAGCCATACCAATTTAAAGTGTTCTGTAGTGTTCAACAAATTAAGCTGGACTGGTTTCGAGGCGTCCAAGCCATCCACTTCATCTTGTACCAAAGCCACGAGAATCTGGTGGAATTTTCCACTGTGCCGCTGGAACCAACGCTCCAGTCGTTTCAACGCTCTCTGAACCACACGAAATCGACGGTGGGGCTGCACGTCCAACGGCTCAGCGGCATGTTGGCATCCTTGGTACAGCTCAATCGCGAAAGTTGTGGTTATTTAACGATTTATTAGACAACGTCGTTCGCTCAATTGCTGGATTACGGACTGTATTTGTGGTGGCCAGCGTCCTTTCTAACGATTTCGACGTCGATTGTCGCTGCAATTGTGGGCTTGAAATATAAATCTGGAATCATCGGGAAAGGAGCGAGTTGGCTCGCCCAGCTTTCTACGCTTTTGGGTAAACACGACAATATCACTTTTCTACGATATATTCGCGTTTAAGTAGATATTCGTAGGCTTTGGGCTAACGGGGGTCACGTGGTCTTTGGCGTATTGCGCTCGCGATGGCATTGAGCTTTTGCAATCTTTTGACATGAACGCTACAGTGCTCATCCCCGATGCCACCCCAGCCATCGGTTTGAAATAAACTAACGACGATCCCACTGACTAATACGACATAATGTTGGTAGATGTATGGAACCTGTTGCACGACCAGTCCCTTGTGGCAAATCACTCACTGAGCCAAGTACGTGATACAATCAACGGGGTTTCGGGATTCTGGTGTTTCGGGGTCCTGCTGTTTTGAGGTTTTGGCGTTTCGGGGTAACAGCCAGTTCTTTTTCTAGCTGCTGTTGTTTGCAGACGTGGTCAAGGTCCCGCCTCTGGCGACACCTGACGACTCTTTCAACACCCCACAGCGGTATGATTTTCCAGCGCTGTTCCAATTTCAGGGGCTGATGGACCTGCAAGCGCACTTCGATGCGGCCAATCCGACGGTGCTGGAGTCGCTGTTTTCATGGGACGAAAGCATCGTGACCGTCAACGCCAACCTGTTAACTACATTAGTTGAGGGAAATCACACCACGCCGTCTCCGTACGCTGCCACGTCATTCAATTTCACAACCAACCAGTCCACAGTTGTCAACATGTTCAATTCGACCTGGCCCACGCTCACACCCGTGGCCAGTGCCGCCCAAAACCAACGCATTGCAGCGCAGTGGCTCGTGTGCGCGACCTTTGAAGCCCGGAGGAGAGAGCTGCTTCTGTACATCACCGACGTAAATCATCGCATTGCTGGTACGCGGCCAGTGCTGGACGCCATTCAGACCAACTCGTCGCTCTTGGAGGCGTTGGAGTACCAACTAAAGGCCGATATGGAGTTCTTCACGACTCAAATGCAGGCATTCAAGCTGGCAGACTGTGGGTTCCGAGGCAACTGCGGTGCGTTCACATGATTAATTACAATGTTCTCGTTGAGATGTCTGTATCTAGTATGGGCGCGAACAGTGTGGAACGATGTGGTGTCGGAGTTGTTAACCTTGGGCAATACTGCGGACTTGACGACGGCATGCTTCGGCGTGGCGGCGCTGGCGCAATTGCTCTGTGCTTTATTCGCGTCCTGCTTTGCCACTCGAATTCAAAAGCCCCAAATCAAGATCTATGTGTTTACCACCGACGACGATAAAGCAACCAAGACAAAATCGGGTAGTTAGTTAGTCGTGAAACAATCGTAGTTAAGTCATTAACTGACATCGAACTGCCATCAAAGCAAAACCCAAGAGGTTTAAGCCGGGCCATTCGCCAGGAGTCGTCGCATGTTTGTGAGTTGGCGGCAGCCCAATGCCCCACAATTTGTCCGTTTCAGTGGCATCGACTAGAACGAGGTCGCCAGTGGCCAGCAATAGCTGCTTCAAATGGAGATTTGCTGGATCGCTGAACTTGGCCAAGTTGCCGCTTTGTACAATCGAATCGCGGTGGGTCACACACAACTCTTGGTCAAAGTCCTTGGCTTGCCGACCCAGAGCTTTGGCTTGGTCCGGGTCTAATGTTTCCAGAATTCGGTCTCGAATTTCCACATCACCAAACAGTGCTGCCTTGCGCGCCATCATGTAGTGCTCGGCAGTGGCGTACTTGACCTGGTTGACTTGAAATGGAGCTGGGAAGGCTTGGCTCAAAAAGGTGCCATCGAGTCCCGAGGATGCAGCGGGGTCTTGACCGACGAAGACGTGATAGGAGTAGGATGTACCCTGCTCAATGGAAACACAAAGTGCGGAGCGGGTGAACTCTGCCATGGTCGCGGTTAATTGCTCAGTGAATGTGAAGGCTCTCGTTTCATTTGGACGAAAGTGTTTTGTTGTCTAGGATCGCGTTTGTGTTTCAGTTAACCAATGAAATTGCATGTTAACAATACTGTAAGTGGATATCATCTATGGTAGTCACATATGGAAATCAAAACCATATTGCTAGGCGGGCGCCTTGACAACTTGGTTGAGTTGCCTTACAGCTGTTAACTCCCGGTAGCTGTAAGTAGGGTATTAATAGTTATTTTGTTCTTAACAAACATTAACGTTAAGAATCAAGCTTTAAGTACACTCGTCCGCTTGCAGCAATTCTCGAACCGTCATGAGGGCGAACCCAAGAAGGTTTAGCCCTCGCCAATGCTTAGGATTCTGTGCGTGTTCATTCTTCGAGGACAGTCCAATGCCCCAAATGGGATCCCGTGGGCTGGCTTCGACCAGAATATGTTTCTTTGTGCCCAATAAGTACGCCTTGAGCGCTTCGTTTTGACCAAATTTGGCAGTATTGGCGCGCACGACAATGTCGAACCGATGGCGGCACCACACACCTTCGTCAAAGTTGTTAACACTGCGACCGTAAGCTTTTGCAGTGGCGGGGTCGGTGGCTCCTAGAATGTCCGCCAACGTCTCCTTATCATGAAACAACCGAGCCTTTTCAGCCATCATAAAGTGCTCGGCTGTGTGGTACGAGATGTCGTCGATGCTGAAGGGGGCCTCAAACCACTGGCTAAAGCATGCGCTGGTCAGCTCGCGACTGGGTTTGTGGTCATAGAAGTACATATAGGTGAAGCTATCACCTCTCGCCAACGCCGCACACAAGTCCTCTCTGCAGCATGGCAGACTCGTGATCATATTGTATGTATACTGTATTGAGTTCTTAGCCAAACCTTGAATCACTTGTTGAGACCATCACTGTGAACCAACTGTACGATTTGTTAGTGATGTTCACAAAATGTACTCCAGTGTGTTATAACGTTAGCAACTGTAAATGATTGTAAAGTTATGATCAAAATTACAGGCCGTTCAATCGACACGAGCACCAATCTCTTCCATTGGCCAATCCGAAATTACTTGTCGCTGATTGGCTGCTATCCATATATTTTCGAAAAAGGCGAAATGGGTCATAGCCAATCAGATCCGAAATTCATATCGAATCTTCCAATACTTCTTACTTAGATTCGGTTAAATTGAGTTACACTATCACGGCGGAATGGCCGTGGAAGCATGCGGACGAACCCGAGTGTCTGTCAATCGACGACATTATTGCAGGCGAAGTAATTCGTGCCGTCTACACAGTAAGAAAAGCCGTGAGTAGGTTAATTACCACAGTGGAGGACAAACCACAGGCAGGGCCGCCACAAGGCGCGTGAGGCTCTCCGATTGCGCAAGGACTTCGTTGAAGTGGACCACGGAGGTGTGCAGAGACAGCGAATACAGGTGGGCGAGCGGGAAGAAATTGGCCGACAATACTATCGGAACGATCGGTTTCTCTTTGTTTACGGCAAATGCAAACAAGTCCGAGAACGCATCCGTTCGGCACGATTTATCGGAAAAGATGGGCAAAAACGCGCTGCAATTCAGGATCGCGTCGTGGGTGGTGCCCCCCACTTGGTGGTCTGCATACGATGCAATGCCTAATATAAACAATGAGAGTTTGAAACGGAAATATTCGTTTGAAATTTACCGTGCAGTTTGAGCATCCCCTGCAGGCGTTTGACAAAGTCAGTGTGGCACCCCCCATGGCAAATAAACACATATCTAAAAATCGCAGTTGAAATTACATTCAACAGACGTGGCGAAGGATTGAATACCTCTGGTGGTACGCAAACTCGACCTCAGTCTGTCGCACTGACACAGTTAGGGGCGACAGGAGCACGTCCCTTCGGTCAACCAACCGCCTTTTCTCCACTTCATTCCGGAGTCCGTCCAACAGCGCAGTCAGCTGGGTGTTGTATACGTCGTGGTTAACTACCAACGCCGGTTCCGTCGACGTAATCGCCTGTCGAAAGTCCACCAGTTGTCGACTCCACAAGTACACCTACAAAAAGAATGTTAACTGCTCATCCCATCAACGGCAGTTGTACTACTTGGAGCTCGTCCGTCATGTCTGTGGTCTCGCCCAGCACCCCCACCACTACAATTGAGATCGTTAGCACGATTATAATCGCGTTCTTTATAATACCTGGGACATTGTGGGCCTTTGCAAACGCGAGCTCCTTCATACACCACTGAGAGACTGGGTACGTTTCACTTAACACACACAGCACCACGGCTGCGTGTTTAATTCCACTGGCGATCTCGTCTCTCCACACAGCCCCGCCGCCGATGCCCGTCGGATCCATGAGATCCATCCATGTCGTTAGAAAGTTGTCTTCGAGGGACTGCCGAAGTTGCAGGGCAAACTCTGAAAACGCATGACTACCACAACCCAATACAGACATTCAGACATGAAGGAAGAATACTTGAAAACATTCATAAATGTACCTGTAGCTGATCATCACATCGCGTTGTCCGGCTTCCTTTTTGATGATAAACTGCAATTCCGTCGACTGACTGCAGTCCACTGCCCGCACTCCTGCTGCGTTCGTACTCGTTGTGGACTCCCTTCAACATTAAAAATGCTTTTGAGCACCAACTGATAGCATCTAGTGGACAAACCCCGAGCGCACAAGGGCTAACGCTGTGTCTTGGTGGCACAGTTTTATTGCAATGTGTAGCGGAGTGTCTCCGTTCTCCAGCGCTCCAAACTCGGGCAGGCCGTGTTTCCGCAGCAATCGAAAGATCCCAGCGTCAATCCCTGTGTCCTTTGCTCGTAAAAATAACTAATCAGAATGTCGATACTTACCATTTTGACGGGCACACAAGCACGGAATCGTCAAGCCGTGGTGGTCTCGAAGTTGGGCGTCCGCTTGCCAGTGAACCAGAAATTCCCGAACGAGTTCAGTGCGGTTGAGATAACACGCCCATGTCAGCGGACTCTGGTGCCACGAGTCCACGGCGTTGACCTTCGCGCCCGCTTTGAGCAGCATCCGAGCTGCGTTCACGTGACCGCGAATGGCCGCCCAGTGCAGTGGCGTGCGGTGAAACAGCCCTATCCGTACACTAAGGATTACCTGTGAAAACAAGCAAGGGCGAACCGTTGGACTGCTCGCCCATCGTATCGACGTCTCCCCACCCCAAATATGCCTTCATTTTCACCACATCTCCCCGACCCGCGGCGTCGTGCAGAGGGGTCAACGCAATATCTCCGCCCCAGGACTCTAACAACCGGGCGATAGCATGTCGACCGTTCAGAAACGCATCTTCAAATACAGTCACGTTGAACCCATTCCCAGGCACGTATCTAGATGAGTATATATAGTATTGATAGAGAATAATGCTATATTGAGTTTTTAATATTTTTTTAAATGCGAAAATATATTATATTTAAAAAATATCTATTGTATTTTTATATGATAAAGATCATACATGAATTTTATCAATAACATTAGGTACATTTGCATGATTATGGTTCACATATAACACCAAGAGAAATAAGTATTTACTACACGAGTAGATATAGTATTCGTTTATTAGTAGAATATGGTGTATGATGTAGTTCCATGTGTACATACAATTGGCTGGCGCCATGCATCAAGAGGGCGTGGGTGACATCGACGTGGGAGGCCCAGAAGAGCGGCGGGGTGGCGGCGCTGGCCACGTTCGACTCGGCCGACACGTTCGGGTCCGCCCCAGCTTGGAGCAGATGCAGCACCAGATGGTGGTCGCTGCGAGCGACTGCCACGTGGAGGGGACTCAAAAGCGTGTGTTTGAACCATCCGAACGGGCCATAGATGCGCGTGGGTTCGCTGTGGTTGATGGAAAAGAAGCAAAACACCTTCGAGTACAAGTCGCGCAACCCAAACTGCGCCACCTGCACCTTGTCCAGTGCATTTGGGTCGAACCCGACCTATCCGAGAGCTTCAAATCGATAACAAGTATAGCTATTGTTACCTGTATCAACAGCTGGACCATATCGAACTGATTGGTCTTGATGGCCATGTGCAGGGGATTCCGTCGGGAGACACACACAAGCTGGTTCCAAATCGACGGAGATTGATACCACTGCGTTGCAAAGGCCGCGTCTTCGTTTATGGCGGCGGCGATGGCCGAGCGAAGTCCGTCAATATCTCTCTGCTTGACTGTCATCCACATTTGGAACCTTAGCAGCTCCTTCGTGGACCCGTTGAACGGCTTTTCCTGCCACGACTTGGTTTTGCAGTCAAACACCCCGTGCTGAAACAGCAAATGCGTCCGAAGCTTGTGGAACGACAGCAGAAACTCCCAGCTGATGGTGTAGCAGTACGTAGCCACGAGTAGCGACAGTGCCATGCAAATCTGGTAGATGCGTTTGTCCATGGCTACAACAAGGACTATTCATGTGTTTCCCAGGCGGATTGGAACATAATTGTTTCCGTACCTGTCGGGCAAGTAAACGTCCACTCCACTTGCACAAATCTAAGCACTATGGTGCCTGTGGACACCAACAACGCGGCGATCTGCACCAGAGCCAACAGTTCGCAGAGTCGGAGGTAGTGAGTTCGAACGATGTTGGGACCAGAAGTGTCTTGTGGCAGACTGCCGGTGGCCCATTGAACGTGGTACATTTTGAAATATCGGAACCCTGTGGTCGGCAAAATCAGGATACTGCTTCTGGTCCACAGAAACACCCGCACGGCAAGGCGGATGGTGTTGAACTTGTTGCATGCATTGCTTTGGTCAGTTTCGGACGCCGTGGCATACGCGCGGAAGACTGTGACTTGGACAAGAAGGATGCAATTGATCAGAGTCACGAGCCCGAGCTGCCATTGCATCTGCTTGCTCACGAAAGTGTTTCGCTTGCTCATGGGCTGGACAGACCACAACGTACGATGGTTCGACGTACCGCTGTCGATTCGCAACGCCAGTTCCGTGGTCAACAGCAAACATGATGGGTTTGGTCATCAAACCCATCATCCTCTGACCAAAGGGAAGAGCTTCACCCCTTATGTAACACCTAAACGGTCGAAATAGCACCGATCATATTGGGCTTTCGGCGGATTCGAGATACTCCGGAGAATACCTACTAGTACTCAAAAATTCCCATGTTTAACAGAAAATACATGCAATTTTGTTGTAGCTACAAAATGACACCGGTACAGCAGACATCTCACATGCTAGACCTATGCAAGGCATCAAAGACCTCCTATTATCACCAAACTCCGACCTGTGTACGGCATGCATACCCCCAGCGTCAGATTGACTTTCTACTCGGGCTGGCAGAATACTTGTGTGCTGTGTGGATATTCGAGTTCTAGACACCCAACGGAGCTGAAGTGATTTCGGCAAGGGTGGAAACATGACGCAAGGACGAAATGAAAATGGATTGAATAATTTATTGGTCTAAGTGGCCAAATTGGCCCGGCCTTGGTTGGCTTTCGCCTGGATGTGTTGTTTGGTCGCTTGGGGCGCCACCTTTTGCTGTTGGGCAGTTTGGGTTTTGGTGGGAGTTTGGACGGCCTTGGGAGCGA